TCCGGAGCCTGCGCCCCCGACGCCCCCCAAACAGCGGCGGCGGCGGCGGGCGGCGGCGCACCGCCGCCTCCGCGTCGGCGCCGGCCGCGGCGTGCCCCCGGCTGCTGGAGCTGCGCCGGCCGCCGCCGGCGGGGGCCGCCTGCCCGCCAACGGAGGGAGGGGGGGGGCCCGGACCTCCACAGGTGGCCCCGGCCAAGGGGCCAGCCATGGGAGCGACAAGGATCGGCATGGCATCCACCTCCCTCCTCATGAGGGAGGGGTGGATGCCATCTCGATCCTTTTTTAGCATGGGGGATCATGGATGGGAGCTCCTGGATGGGAGCATGGGAGCATGCAGGAGCATGGCGAACTAGGTAGGCTCCCATCAGGGTCCCAAGGGGCGCAGGCGCGCCTGGACGCGCCCCCGAGGACGTGCGCGACCGACCGTCGTCGTCGTCGCCATCCTCCTCATCCTCCCCGGCATTATCATCCCATTCCTCCATCTTATCCTCCACGTCCCTCCTCATCTGGCTCCTCCTCCTCCATCCGCTCTTCCTCCTCACGAGAGAGAGACAGAGAGAGAAAGATGTACAGGGGAAGCATGTGCTAGGAATACGCTCTCATCCCTCTTCCTGTCCCCCCCATTCTGCCCCTCCTCGTGTCCCCCCCACTGATCCCTCTCCCTCCTACTCATCCAGGGGCTAAAAATTAGTAGACGCTATGTGCATATCACGTTCCTGGCACTTCTCACTGGTAGTGTCTGGCTGTGAAATTATGTCTGGCTGATCCGCTTGCGGAGACATAGAACATCGACGCTCGCCTCATTCGGTGTGTCACCCCCCCCCTGATCCCTCCCCACTTCTTCCCCGTCGCTGCTGCCTGCTGAAGAGCCGCAACAGGTACACTTCTATCTCCAGCAGCCTCTGCGATTGACATTTTGATCTTCCAGGTCCGCACCTCTCATGATCCCCCGAGTAGCGCTCCTCATGTACTGTTATCGACGACCCTGACGCATACTTTGCTCGCCAACAAGTTTAAGTCACCAGCATTCGCCACACCGACCAGGTAGCCATCACCATCATCGGCCGTATTACGTTCGGGTGGAGGAGGCGTCAGGAACTTATGGGACAGGTCGAGGGGATTGGGGGGGGGACCGACTTCTGGCCATTTTGGTCTTTTGCGGATGGGCTCTGCCCCGCTGATGGCAGTCGTGCCCCAACACCTCCACCTCACACCTCAGCGGCTCTCGCACAGCCCATTCGCACCCGCCAATGCTCTGCTCATCTCTTCGCGCCATGTGTTGCCGCCACAGGCCAGCCAGCACAGCCTGTGCCAGCCGACACACAGTTACCGCGTCTCTCTGTTTTACTCCCACAGCCTGACATATCTTAGTGTAGCGTGGATGGGGTATTGGTGATGGGTGTATCGGGTGGGTCAGCTGGTGGGAGGGGACGCTGCGATCAGGTGGCCTGGAGCGCAAGCCATCGGACACAACGGACCAGCCAGCACAGACGAAGCCAGCCCTCGCACACACCTAGGCCCTCACATTTGCACTCTCCATCCTGGCGCATAACTGTTCTACTGTTCGATGCAATGGTGGCGAGTAAGTGGGGGGCTGGCCATCAGGGCCCACCCCACTGTGGGCTACTTACCACAGCACCAAATAATACGAACAGTCGATGCACTCTGCCTATTTACAAATTTCTGTAAGCAGTTGCCGCGCACAACCATTGTTCTAGCATCTTCTAGAATCTTACTCTGCTAAGTTTGCCTCGTCACTGTCTTACCAGGCCCTCCTACGGTCCAAGGCCAGGTAGCGCTGGCCCAACAGCGTGCACTTGGTGGGGTTGGCATGGAATTGGTTGGCAGGTGGGGCTTGGGTATGGGGAGGTGCGTTGGAGATCAAAGCTCGCTCTCATTTCGGGACCCCCTGGCACACAGGGAGTGGCCCCCCCTTCTTCGGCTCCACTGGCTCCAGACTTGAATCAAACAAAATCACGGGCCAGCCTACACAGGCCAGCCTTTGCAGCGCTGGCCTATGTATGGCTGTACGCTTAGCAGCACCGATCAGCAAGTACAGTCCTTGCCATCCTCAGCCATACATCTGCTGGTACGAAACAAGTCTGCAAAAGAGCGACAAACCCTGGGCAGCAACCCAAGAGCTGTCACCACTAGCCCTTGTTTTGATACACAGTCTTAAGCCTCGCCTCTTACGCAACTTGCCTCTATACTGGGAGTGGGGGTTGAAGACGGGAGCAGTTTGTCTATGAGGGGGGAGGGAGGCAGCACCAGAAAGTTTACCCAGTCTCACTGCCAGCGACTGGCCAGTCTGATTGCAGCAAACAGCCACAGGGAGGCCACACTCGAGCTAGCCCATGCAAGCCACTGAGGTGGGCATCAACACTGCAATTTGCAACGCAGGCCAGCCGTCACCAATACCGTAGGTCGCTCTACCTCGCCTTCGCTCGGACGTCCATTCCTCGTGTATCTTTCGATTTCGTGCGTGTTTTTTCTCGCCAAATGATCAAGGATGGTTCTCGATGGCCGTCGCCGAGAAAAAAATGCACACGTCCGAGCGATGCCAAGCTACTGCTTGCCGCTCTGCCAATCGGCACAACGCACTGATCCTCCCCAGCGTCGCCTGCACTGCTACCCTTGCTTGGTGCGACTCTTTGACTCGGACGCTGCCCGCCTGGACAGGTACAGGAAGGTGGGCTCTGACCGGCTACCATTGGCAAGGGAAAATCAAGACAACTCCAGGCACAGCAGCGCTTCGCTTAGCTGCTGCTGCGCGCGTAGTTCTGGGGGGAAACAGACCTGCCTCGCTTTTGGCCACCCTCGCTTCCAAGAAATACCAAGCGATGCCAAACTACGGCCTGTACTGGTCAGGCCGCTTGACGAGGAGGCGCGTGGTATGACTTGGTTTTGCCTGGAAGCGAAAGCGGGGTAGGTAATTCACGCTCTGAAGTTCGGTCCCTCTTCGTCGATCGGATCCCTCTTGATCATTATGGTTGTTACTAAGGTTTTCGGTCGTGAATTCCCCTCCTCCTCGCAGACCGCCTGGCTGGCGCATACCCTGTGTCCTTTGAGCCCTCTTGTTGTTCCTGCTCTTTTGGCACGCCTTGTTCCGCCGCGCCAGCCAGGTCGAATGCCTTCCTCACACCGCCAAGTGGGCGCTCCTCCTTGTTTGCCCTGCATCCTGCAATGCTCCATGCTGTTGCAACAAGTGACGAACCAACAACACACACCCATACCCATAAGGGGGTCGGAGAGGGCTATGGGCGCGTGTTGTCGCATGGGGGTCCCCGCTCGAACGGGAGCGTCCCCCACGGGTCCGACCACCCGCACCCATACCCATAGCCAGTCCCCCTCTCAACGACCCCCCTATGGGTGTGGATGTGTGTCGCTCGTTCGTCAACAAGCTCGCGCTATGGCTGGTTAAGGAGGAGGAGGAGGAGGAGGAGGAGGAGGGGGGAGGAGGAGCAGGAGGAGGAGGATGAGGAGGAGGCCCCCCCCCGAGACACCGGGGCGCTGGCCGTGCTCTCCAGCGGCGGCGCCGGCCCCGCATCCGCCCACGGCGGGGGGTGCCCGCGCGCCGCCGCGTCGCCTACCGCGGGAGGGGCGGCCCCCGCAGCCCCGCCGCGCCCCAGAGTGCCGCCCCGCTCCCAGCTGCCCCTCCCGCCCCTCCTCTCGAAGGCTAACCTCTCGGCTGCACGTAAGAGTGACCCTGGGCAAGAGTGACCTTTGGTGCGCGGCTTCTTGGGAGGCGCGAGGAGGCCAAACACAAGCGCGCAAGACGCTACTATCGCACTGAGCGCGGCCATCGGGGGACCCCAGTGAGCGCGCACCGAAGGTCACTCCGGCGAAGGGTCACTCCTACAAAGCGAAGGTCGGGACAGAATCGGATCGGGAGAACTCGAAGTCTCTGAGAGTCGGCGGGTTTGGAGGATTTATTTTGGGCGCCGCGGCCGCTCCAGAGCGTTCCGGAACGCTCTGAGAGCGCTTCGGAACGCTCTGGAGCGATTTATCCCGATCCTAACCCTGTTTTACCCCCTCCCTCCTCCTCGAAGGCTGACAAAGGGGGCACGCTGCACGTTCTACCCGATGGTCCTGGCACCACGGCCTTCCTCCTCGTGCTCCTCCTCTCCTGCACGTGTCCAGGCACGCCAACATCCGGAGGCCGCGGCCTCACGCACCCGGGCTGAGCTAGGCCGCACGCTTGTCCGCAGCGGTGGTCGTTCGCTTCGTTCGCTCAATCCCCTCTCGATGTGACGAAAAGAGTCGACGGGAGGCTTCTGCCAATCTTCGGCCTCTCGGGGTCCTCACCAGGCCCCAGCACCGTCAAACAGCAGCTGAGCCTCCATGTAGAGGCCTCCTAGATGGGGTCCAGGTATATGGTATCGGAGCATCATGCCGCAACGGCGATGTATCGGCGCAAACGGAGCTCCACACCGATCCGCATCGCCAATGCGGCGTGATCCCCTACACGTCGGTCGGAAGAAGTAGGTAAAAACATGAAAGTAGGAAGGCGGATGAATTAAATTGGGCTCGGGCCCTCCCAAAGAATAACGAACACACATCACAACCAAACTGGCTCTTGAAATAGGCAGGCGCCAGAAGCAGACTGGGATCCGGGTATCCACGAAAATGCCTGCTTTCAACGACCCACGGGCATTCCGGCCCCAACTTGCGACGCGGGGATTCATCCATATCCATCGCCTGGGAAACCGACGCCCTGGTGCCCCGGTGGGCGGCGGCTGTGGACACATACTTCGGCCCCCAGGGGCCCCGATGTGTGTCCACATCCACCGCCTGCCGAGGCTCCGAAAACCGACCCTCTAGGCGGTGGTCACGCCTCGCCATCGCTCGGACGTCCATTCCCTGTGTTTTTTGTCGGATTCGTGCGTGGTTTGTCGGCACATGATCAAGGATGCTCCTCGATGGTCCTCGCCGAAGGAAACATGCACACGTCCGAGCGATGCCAAGGACCCTCTAGGCGGTGGTCGCGCAGAACTCCCCGCCTCGGACACCTGGGCCGCCTCCGCCGGGCCACGCGGCGCAGCGCCGCCGCCGCGCCCCGGAGCTCTGGGCACGGGCCCGGCCCGCCGCCGCCCCGCGGCCCCCGGGCCGCCCGCCCCCGCGCCCCGCGACCCGCGGTGCGCGGCGCGCGGCCGCCCTCGCGTTTCCCTCGCGCCCTCGCGCCGCCCCCGCGCGCGCGAGGCGCCGCCGAAAACTCGTCGCCCCCACCGGGGCATCGCTCGGACGTCCAAGGATGCTCCTCGATGGTCCTCGCCGAAGGGAAGGTGCACACGACCGAGCGATGCCAGGCCACCGGGGTGGCCCGTGGGCCTCCCTCCTCAGTTCCGCCCCGGAGGCGCTACCGGCGCTGCCTCCCCCGCGGCCGCAGCGTCTGCCTCCCCGCGCGGGGCGGGAGAGGGAAGCTCGGCACGGGCACGGCCCGCTGCCGACGGGTTGTGCATCGCCGGTCTGGAGCCTCGCACGGCGCATCCACGAGCTCCTTCGCTGATTTGCAGCCTCTCAAATCGCATGCACAAGCTCGCATTACGAGCGCAATCGCACTGCCACTAACATCCGGAGACTAAGCCAGCACGAGGGGAAAGGAGGAGGGGGGGAGGTAGAGGAGGAGGAGGAGAAAAAGGAGGAGAGAAGGGGAAGAGGACACGCAATAATGGAGGCGAGTTTCCTTGATGCGGTCCCGGCCCGCGACTTTCTTGCACCAGGCGCTTGCGCACAGTTTCGGGACCTTGGGGCCCTCACAGATCGATCAACCTCGAAAATCCGGAGGGGGGCAGAAAGGTGGGGTAGGGGGTAGGGACAGAGGTCAAGTTAGTCAGCTAGAACGGGCCAGAAGGTCCCGTCCACTCCCACCCGCCCTCCCACAACATAAGAAGCCAGCGCGTCGCGTCCGACACCTGTCGTTCATCTTATATCGTGGGCGGCTAGACCTTCAGCGCGACATGAGCTGCGTCCTACTCCTGCCGCTTATTGAGCAACGTCGACGAAAAACAAGACCGCGCGCGATGTACGCCGCGCCCCGCTCCAGCCTCTCATGTTCGTTCGTCGGCGACAACATGTCCAGCGCGCAAAGTGCGCGGCGTCTCACTCAAGCCACGCGTGTTGTACCGCCAATCGTTTCGTTCCTGCCGCGCATAGAGGACGGGGAGGAGGAGGAGGAGGAGGAGGAGGAGGAGGAGGAGGAGGGGAGGGAGAGAGGGAGGGAGGGAGAAACTGAGGATGAGGAGAATGCCTCTTGGGAATTCGCGGGGCGTCCCAGTCCCGCTACGCGACTCGCAGCGCCGACGAGGAGAAAGTACATGTTGGCAAGGAAAACGTCGACATCGCGGTCTTTTCTGACAGGTAGGACGGGGGGTCCCGAGTAGGGTTGGCCAGGCGTCCGCGCGCGATGTGCGCCGCGTCCCATTCCTGCTACACTTTTCGCAGCGTCGACGACAAGAAAGTCCATGTTGACGAGAAAAACGTTGACTTTGTATTGTTTTTAATAAGTGGGACGCGACCACCCGCTTCCGGTTACCCAAGCGATGTTCATTCCGTCCTATTCCTGCGACACTTTTCGCAACTCGACGACATGTTGGCAAGAAAAAATTGAGTTCGTGATTCTTTAAAAAGTTGGGACGGCGGGATTGCTATCGGCCAGCTAGATGGGGATTGAGGGGCGTTTAGTTCTATATGTGCTGGCCTTCATGCAGCCGCGGAGTCACGGGGGGTGTTCTCGCCAGAGTCGTGTTCCCTGCTCCGCAGCCTTTTTCAGGGTTCAGCCTGAGTTTGCCAGAGGACGATGACGTTACTGAACTTCGCCTGGCGCTTGAGAAAAGTTCGACTCAGAGATAGGAAGTAAGGATGGGGGTGGAGGGAAAATCGCTCCGGACGACCCCTGAAAGAAGGACACGCGCTCAACGGGAGCATCCCGCTGGGCCCGCTCCCCAGCCCCGCCTTGAGATAGCCCTCCCTCTACCTCCTCCCCCCTCCTCCTCCTCCTCCTCCTCCTCCTCCTCCTCCTCCTCGTCCTCCTCCTCCTCCTCCTTCCTGCCACTGCCCGTCCATTCTCCTCCTCCTCCTTCTTCTCCTCCTCCTCCTCCATTTTTTCCTTGTGAATAACTTCTCCCTGTCGCACCCTGAGGCCAGTTTCTAGGACGGGCTGGGCGCTTCGCCTGAGACTTCCTCATCGCTTAAGACCTTGAAACGGAAAAATATGTCAATAGTTTCAGAGATGGAGGCCGGGCGGCTTTCAAAGTGTTGCTCTCGCCTTAGCACCGAGAATTTTCGTCTTAGAAAGTTGCAAGAGCTTTTCAAACTGAGAGGGACTGGTTTTCAAAATGTGGCTCACCGCTTAGCGCCGCGCACACTCGTTTTCACAACATGGCAAAGGTTTCACGGATTGAGGCCGGTTCCTTTTCAACATGTCGCTCTCGCCTCAGCGCCGCGCACCTTTTTTTCAAAATCGGCCAAGAGTTTCACGGATTGAAGGCTGGTGGTTTTTTAAATGTGGCTCTCGCCTCAGCGCCGCGCATTGTAGCATTAAAAATCGGCAAGAGTTTCACGCATTGATGGCGGTTCCTTTTCAGAATGCGGCTCTCGCCTGAGCGCCGCGCAAGTTCGTTCAAAAAATTACAAGAGTTCACAGATTCCCCTGATCAACGTAACAGAAATGGTGTTTTGGAAATATTCAGGAACATGCGGGTGCAACAGGTACGTTAGTTTGCGGCGTTGGAGTCCAAGGAGTGGCGTTCTCGCACGACTCAGGCTCGTCAAAACGCAACCAACAGGTTGATCCGCGGCGTTGGAATCCCGAGAACAATGTTTTGGCATGCTGCAGAATCTTCAAACGGTTGTCTCCCGACGAGGCAGTTCATTCAGTGGAGATGCTTCGCCTCCTCCTCCTCCTCCTCCTCCACCTCCTCCTCCTCCTCCTCCTCCTCCTCCTCCTCATCCCCCCTCCCCCTCCTCCGCCTCCTCCTTGGCCCGGGAGGCCTCCGTGGGCACTGTGAGGGCCGGGAGGCCCGAGAGGAGGGTCCTCCTCCTGATCCTCCTCCTTCTCCTCCTCCTCCTTGCCGCAGCTGCTTCGCAGCTGCGGCAAGTGAGCGACGAACAGAAACCAAAATTACGCGAGATGGCATAGCGTCCATACTACGCTACACCGGGAACGAAGGCGCTGACGCGCGACCTTACGCGATCAAATACTCGCAAATGTCGGCACAATCGAACCCGCTTGTCTGCAACACTCAAGGGGCAGTCCGAAGACAGAGGCCTCTCAAAGGGGTCGGAGCGGATGGAGTCGAGGGATCGCGCCGAATCGTCGATGCATCCCCGATGCATCAGCGATGCATCGACGACGGCGATACATCGGCGATGTCGGCGTGGAGCATCAAGAACCCCACACCCAGCCGCATCGCCGATGCATCGGCGATGCATCACGCGATCCTCCGACTCTGTTTACCTTGACCCCATCTGGGAGGTCGGGCTTGCCATCGCTCCGACGCTCATTCCCCGTACACGTTTTATTTCCGTGCGTGACTCTCTTGCTCGGGGATCCAGGATGCTCCTCGATCGAGGGTCTCCGCCTTGAAAAAGTGCGCACGTCCGAGCGATGCCAAGTAGAGTCTAGAGAAGAAGGTGGAGGGGGCACCCCCGCCCCCCCCAGCCGGCCCCGCCTGCGTCGCGCGGCTCGTCGGCAGGCAGGTACGCCGCGGCGCCCGCCCTGCACGGCCGTGGCGGCGGCGGCGCTGCAGACGCCGACGACGCCGACGACCGACGATGCCGACGACCCACGACGCACGACCGACGGCGCCCACGACGGACGACGCCGCGTACGACGCCGAGGCCGACAAAACCCGAGGCCGACGACGCCGAGGCCGAGGACGACGCCGAGGCCGCGGCCGAAGCGGGGGTCGGCGATGCCGACGCGTACGCAGAACTTTCGGATGCCCGCTCGGACTTCTCGGATCGTCGTGAGGATGACTGCCTACCAGACCACCCCAGCCCAACCCGAAGACCCGAATTTCGGGTCGGGGGGGATAAGGGTTCCACACGTGTTGTTTCGATGTTCCCCGACCCCCCCCCACACTGGAAATCGAGGGTTAATCTGAGCCTTCGGGTTTGGTTGGGGTGGCTTGGTGGGTGGTGAGAGGAGGATCCTGGACGCCCCGCGCGGCAACCCGACGCCAGACAGGCACGTCGGATGTGCGTCGAAACCACGCCGGAGGTCCGTCGGAAGATCGCCGCGCGAGCTTCGTCCCATTTTCCCTGCGGGGCGGACGCGTGGACTGCACGGCACGACCGAGGTTCGCCAACGGCGAGGGGGCCGCCCGAGCGGCTGGCTCGGCGCAGTGAGGCCGCATGCGTTACGTTCGGCCTCTGGGCCCTCGAGAGGAACTCCTCCCCCCTCCTCCTCCTCCTGCTCCTCCTCCTCCTCTGGGGGGAGTCTCCTCTCCTCCTCCTCCTCCTCCTCCTCCTCCTACTCCTCCTCCTCCTCCTCCTCCTCCTCCTCCTCCTCCTCCTCCTCCTCCTCCACCTCCTCCTCCTCCTCCTCCTCCTCCTCCTCCTCCTCCTCCTCCTCCTCCTCCTCCTCCTCCTCCTCCTCGTCGTCGAGATCGGCCCTGGGGTCCCCTCCCTCAGCACTCGTGGGCGGTCGGGGCAGGGTCCACACGTGTGGCTCCCTTATCGGTGCCTCGGCTTCGGGTCACAGTTCGGGCCTCCCGCGGCCGTTCGGGAGGATCCGCGCGCCCCTGGACGCCCGTCGGCGGGGCGCGGCTGCTGGAGAGCACCCCCGCAGCAGAAAGGAATCCAGGAACCGGCGAAGACCGCCCCGCCAATGATAACTCCGCTTGGTATGCCCGACATGGGTACGGAGAAAATGGGCACGATGACCAACAGCACACGTTGCCCAAAGCCGACAGCGGCCACTGCGAAACCGACAATCAATCATGTTCATGATGGACATGGGCACGTTGTTGCATTCCGAGCGTTGACAGCCACCATCGGGCGCGAACCACACTTTATACCCGCAACAGAACGGTTCCCGCTGGCGCCGCTTGGGGATGTTTAGGAATCTAGGCAATCCCAGACCCCGCGGGGGGGACAAACTGGGATGTTTCGGCGGCGAGCGAGGGGGGAAGTGTGAAGGAGAAGGCCCCCTCAGAAGGCGGCGGGACTTCTCAGAAGCCATCGCGCCTTCAGAGAGCTTTTTCTGTGTATTCGAGGAAGTCTTAGGAAACTTCTCAGAAGGTCGGGGGACTTCCGAGCCTTCTGAGAAGGCCCGCCCCTTCTCGCTTCCCCCCGGGCTCGCCGCCGAATGCTGGACAGGCCCATCCACCCCGCCAACGCCCGTAGATCCCGGGGGAATGTTAAACAAAAACAGTCTCCATTGGCAGGCCTAGAGGTTGACACCAACACCAATATCGGCGGTTTTCCTCCACCGAGGGAAGAAGATCCCGATCTCGGTGATGGTGGCAATATTCTGGCTGCCAAGGTGACCGAAATATTACCACCAACACTGAAATCTAGGATCATCTACCCCCTGTGGAGGCAGCCCCCTGTCTTGGTGTTGGTGCCCATTTCCAGGCCTCCAATCCATGGAGCGGCTGTCGGCCTTCCCCGAGTTCCGATGCGACGAAGAGAAACATCTTAGACAAAATCGGCAGCAGCCCTGGAAACCCCATCTGTCTGCTGCATGTCTCGAGCTGCATCGATCTGGAGTGCCCCCCGGCCCTGCCATCGCCCAAATTCGTTTCTGACTATCCCCCGGCCCTGACAGCATCCCAATTCGTTTCGCACCCATTCCCAAACATGCGATGTCCTGACTGCTTGGGAATTGGGGCATCCGGAGGTCCCAACCCTTTTGACTGGGCCCGATGTTGCACCCCGAGTCCTTGCTTGACAGTCCTGGAGCCCGCCGACGGCCCTCACGGGCCGACAACAGGAAAAAAAAACCTCAGTTGTGTTTTTGTTTTTGTTCACGACGCGAGGAAGTCTTGTAGTCCCTGATCCCTCCGTGCCTGGATCGGCGTGGGAGCTGCTGAGGGGATAAGGGGGTTACCGGCGGATGCAAGGGTGGGCTGCATTTGGCCGCACCTCACTTACTACAAAAAGGGTTACAAATGCCGCAAGCGGCTAGGAGTGGATAGCGATCTGGGCGAAGTGGGCTCCGCCCACGTGGCGGATTTAACTAACCCCCCTAAGCCACCTAGGGCGCTTGGAACTTGCTAAGAAGCCAGGACAGGCCAGGTCTGATCACCTTGGCATGCACTGAGAACCCCCCTATCCCCGTAGCAACCCCCGCGACGATCCAAAGGACCCCGTCTGTCTGCGGCAATTTCTAGCCCGGCCGAGCAATGATGGTCCCCGGGGCCCGGCAACGGGCGAAAACGACCGGTGCCAAAAGAAACGCAGCGCCCAGATCTGAGACACTGGGGCGGAAGATGGGGGCGGGGGCGGGCTCGACGACGACGACGACGACGACGGCGGCGTCCACGACCTAATGATCCCCTTGGCAGCCCGCGCCACGATGTAGAGGAACAAAAAAAATACTGCATAGACATAACCCGTCGGAGCTCCGCGAGGATTCCTCGGATCGGCGCTGGACCCCCTCCCTGGCGTCATGTCGGGCCTGTCCCCCTACAGGGGGATTTTCGACGATTTTTTTTTTTAAACAAAAAAAAAAAATGCTCAACAAAATTAACCCCAGACCGTTTTTGGACTATTTTGTAACTATTTTTGGGAACCTTTATTTTTCGTCGAAAATCCCCCTGTAGGGGGACAGGCCCGACTTAACCCTGGCGCTCGCAGCGCGCCAGGGGCGGCGCCAGAGACGCCGCTGGGGGGGGGGCCCACCGCCGATCCACGACGACATCGGCGCGGGGCTTCGACAGTTTACGCTCACGCCGTGCGCGCTTCTGCGAACGACGACGGCGCCCGTGCCCCCGCGGCGATTCAAGTACCCGTTCCAATGGTGCGACCTGCCCCCCCGCCGCCGCCGCCGCCGCCGCCGCCGTCGTCATCGTGGTAGCGGCCGCCGTCGTCGTCGTCGCCGTCGCCGCCGTCTGCGCCGCCGCCACCGCCGCCGCCGCCGTCGTCGTCGTCGTCGTCGTCGTCGTCGTCGTCGCAGGCCGCCGCCGCCGCCGTCGTCGTCGTCGTCGTCGTCGTCGTCGTCGCCGTCGTCGTCGCTGTCGTCGTCGTCGTCGTCGTCGTCGTCGTCGTCGTCGTCGTCGTCGTCGTCGTCGTCGTCGTCGTCGTCGTCGCAGGCCGCCGTGCTCCTCGCCGCCGCGCCAGCGCCGGCCGCGCCGCCGCCCTGCCGCAGCAGCCGCCCGAGGCCGCCGCGGCCGGCCGCCGCGGGGCCCTTGGGCGGCGGCTGCTCGGCCCCTGCGGGGGCGGCCGCCGGCCGCGGGGAGGGGCCGCCGGCCGCTGCCGTCCGCCGGCGTCCCGGCGCTCTTGGCCCTGATATCCTGGCGTCGCAGCGTTTTCACGATACGTTGGCGGCGCGCAGTGATCGGGGATGGACAGACCTCCCTTCAGCAAAACGTGGTTCAGTGAAGACGCCCTCGGCCCCAAACCTGGCGGGCGCAGACCTGGAAAATGACGGCCGCAACGCCCTGAGAACCGAAAACGGACAATTCACTAATCGACGTGTCAGGGTAGGAGGTCTGTCCACCCCCGAAATGAGGACGCACGTCCGCAGAGCAACAGACACATCTCGGGCTTGCATAGACCGAACCCTCCGAGCACTGCCAGAGGCGGCAGCCCGCACAGAGCTCCCCCACGAGCCTGGAGCTGACGATTCAGAGCAGGGCAGCACGCCAAGGTACACGGGGCCGAGCCAAAGGGACGAGCGGGACACCATCGAAGCGGACGGGTGCTGCTGCGAACGCGATGGCCAGGTGTCCCAGAACGAGCAGGGACAGGGGGGGTAGGAGGAGGGGGGAAGGCTTCTTCAAAGGAGGCCGCTTCTCAGAAGGCGCCAGCCTTGCGCCCACAGACTTACGCCTACCGACAAGGCCCACACCTTCTCAGAAGCAGAGGTGCTTCAAAGAAGCCTTCCAAACTCCCTCACCCCCCCTCTGCCACGTGGCAGAATACTGCGCCGATCTTGCCTCGTTTCGGGGACCGTCCCAGATCGATCCGGCTCTAAGAGTGCTGCAGAAGCATGGGGTTTAGAGATCTGGTCGTGATCTTTCGCGATGCTGCACATTTCCCGCAACGTCGGATCTCAGGGGACCTCCGGAGACCCAGATCTGCGACGACATGACTTTTGACAACACCTCTTGCGTTTCCACGATCTCGCAGGGCCCCTGCTCGGGCCGCGGAGACATCAGGACTCCATCCGGGACGGATACAAAAATATAGCCTCTTGTCCAGTATCCCCAAGCGCAGTCTTCATACAGTCGGAGCGTTGACCTAAGGAACCCTAAGTAAGGAACGAGGCCCCTTTTTTCCCATAAGTTAGACTTCGATTTCCCATCGAAACCCTAAGCACAACCAAAGGCGAACTACAAAACAACTAAGGAACACCGAGCCCCTCCCCAACGAAAAGGGTTCCTTCCTCAGCGCCCCGACTGTAGTCAAGGCGGCACCAAGGAATGTTCGCGCATTCCCCTGCTCCTGAGTCGCCTGCGTCTGTGGCGGCGTCGTCCAGCTTATCGTGATCGTCGTCGGCCTCCTCCCTCGCATCCACAGAATCATCCTTCTCGCCCTCGCCCTCCCCCTTCCACACCGCCTCCTCCTCCTCATCAGCATCAGCAGCAGCAGCACATCATCATCAGCATCATCAGCAATGTTATCATCATCATCAGCAGCATCATCATCGTCATCATCATCATCATCATCATCAGCAGCAGCAACAGCAGCAGCATCCCCCTTCCCTCTTCCTCCCGCTCCTGCTCCGCCACTTCCTCCTCCTCCTCCGCCAACTCCTCCTCCTCCCCTTCCACGTCATCCTCCACATCCTGATCCTGCTGTTCTCCTCCCCATCCTCTTCCTCCACCTTCTACTCCTCCTCTCCCTCCTCTTCCTCCTCCTCTTCTTCCTCCTCGTCTTCTTCCTGTATCTCATCATCTCTCATTCCTCCTTGTCCCCCTCCTCACACGAAATCCTCCTCATGCTCCTGGTGCTATTCCTCCTCCTCCTCCTCCTCCTTCTCCTCCTCCTCCTCCACCTCCTCCTCCACATCATCATCATCCATTCCTTTTCATTATGAATAACTTCTCCCTGTCGCACCCCGAGGCCAGTTTTTAGGGCGAGCTGGGCGTTTCGCCTGAGACTTCCTCACTACTTATGGCCCTGGAGCATAAGAAATGACAACCGGATGGAGGGCGGGCCGTTTTCAAAGTGTTTTAAAAGTGTGCAGGTGCTTCACGTATTGATGGCGGATCGTGTTCACCGTGTGGCTCTCGCATCAGCGCCGCGCACAGTCGTTCTCAAAACTTGCAAAAGCTTCACGGATTGAGACCGGCTTCTTTTCAAATATGTCTCTCGCCTTAGCGCCGCGCACATTCAGCTTCATTCAAAAAATGCCAGAGTTTCACGAATTCCCATGGTCAGCAAACCAGGAATGATGTGTTGGAAGGAATCGGGATTATGAGGGTGCAAAAGTTGCGTTCATTCGCAGTGTTGAAGTCCAAGAAACGGCGATCTGGCACTATTCAGGGCTGTCAAGACGCAACAGTCAGGTTGATCCGTGGCGTTGGAATCCCGAGAACAATATTTTGGCAGCTTCAGGGGCAGTCTTCCAACGAGGCAGTTCCCTCAGTGGAAATGACACATTGTAGGGGCCTGTGAAGAGGAGCTTGGTGGGAGGGTATACTTCAACATCGTTGATGACTCCTGGGTTTACACTGGTTCTCCTCCTCCTCCTCCTCCTCATCCTCCTCCTCCACCTCCTCCTCCTCCTTCATTCCTTTTCCGTAACCTTCTCCCTGTCGCACCCCGAGGCTAGTTTTTAGGGCGGGCCGCACGTTTCGCTTGAGACTTCCTCACCACTTAGGACTCTGCAGCTGAAAAATTGGGCAACGGTCTCACACATGGAGGGCAAGTCGTTTACAAAAGGTGGCTCTCGCCTGAGCGCCGCGCGCATTCGTTCTAAAGAGTTGCAAGAGTCTCACGGACTGAGGATAACCCGTTCTCAAAATGTGGCTCTCGCCTTAGTGCCGCGAACACTCGTTCCAGAAAATGTGCACGAGCTTCCCCGATTAAGGACCACCCGTTTTCAGAGTGTGGCTCTCGCCTGACCGCCGCGCACATTCGTTCAAACAAAAAACAAAACGAAAAAAAAACATAAACGTGGGGAACAACAAAAAACTTCACGGATTGAGGACGGATCCTTTTTCAAAATGTGGCCATCGCCTCAGCGCCGCGCACATTCGTGCATACCATGTGCAAGAGGTTCAAGGATTCCAGCGATCAACGTACCAGAAATTGCGTTTGGGAAGGACTCTGGATTTTGCGGGTGCAACAGTTACGTTGGTTGACGTTGTTGAAGTCCGAAGGACGGCGTTCTGGCACAATCCCCAAGATCGTCAAGACGCAACAGTCAGGTTGATCCGTGGCGGTGAAATCCCGAGAACAATGTTTTGGCATGTTTCCAGGTCTTCAAACGGTTGTCTTCCAACGAGGCAGATCCCTCAATGGAAATGAACCTGTGTAGGGGCTTATGAAGAGGGAGCTTGGAGGGAGGGTGTGTTACAACATCATTGATGGCTCTTGGGTTTACACTTCTCCTCCTCCTCCTCCTCCTCCTCCTCCTCCTCCTCCTCCTCCTCCTCCTCCTCCTCCTGCACTTCCTCTCTGCGGTAGGCCACCCACTGCAAATCCGCACGACCTTCGCCAGCGATCCATAGGCGAGTGCGGGTCGATGCCTCCCCCCCTGTCCTGCTCCCTCCTCCTCCTCCTTCCTCCTCCTCCTCCTCCTCCTCCTCCTCCTCCACACCACCTCCTCATCCCCCCCTGACGTTGCCCCTGGAAGTCGGAGGGCGCTGGCGGGGCAGCTCGGGGCGGCGGCGGAGGGGGCCGCGCCTGCCGAGGGCGCGCGCGTGCGCCGATCCTGCGGGAGCCCGCCAGCGGCCTGCGCGTCGAGGCGCGGGGAGACCTCCGGGCCGCGACGGGGGGCGGCCGTCGGGGCGAGGGCGGGACGGGGCCCGCGAGGGCAGGCGGGGAGGGCGCCGCGAGGGGGGGCGGCGGCTGCGGCGCGGCTCCCCGCCCGTGGAGCCCCCCCGCTCCGTGGGATCGCGGGCTCTCTCGTGCCTGGGTTTACGTTTCCAGCACGGCCCTCCTCGGGTGTGTCCAAGGGCTCCCAGCTTCGCGCTTCGCGCTGCGCGAGAGCGCGAAGCGCGAACAACTTCGCGCCCTCGCACCGCCTCCCAGGGGAGAAGGGGAGGATGAGGAGGAATCGGAGCCGATCCGCGAAGCGCGAAGCGCGAACAACTTCGCGCCCTCGAGGGCACCCTTGCGTAGCCTTCTCCCCTCCGCCCGGTGAGGACCATCGTGGGCCCGGCCAGCGAGGGCCACCCCGTGAGGCCTCACGCCCTGCGCGGCTGCCAACACCGGGGGCCGCACGCGCAGTGCCCGGGGAGGCGGCCCGCCTTCCCTCCTCCTCCTCCTCCTCCTCCTCCTCCTCCTCCCTCCTCCTCCTCCTCCTCCTCCTCCTCCTCCTCCTCCTCCTCCTCCTCCTCCTCCTCCTCCTCCTCCTCCTCCTCCTCCTCCTCCTCCTCCTCCTCCCAGAGGCCGCCGTGATGTTTGTCCACGCCTCGAGGGGGTCTTGGCCTCTCTCGCTCGCCGCCAAGAAGGACGGCGAAGTCCCTCTTGGGCCACGAAGCGTATATGAGGGGTGCGCCGACATGGGGGGGGGAACCGCACAAGGACCCTGCCTGGGGTGCCTTAGGTGGAGCCCCGAGGGGCCACGAAGCGTATATGAGGGGTGCGCCGACATGGGGGGTGGAACCGCACACGGACTCTGCCTCGGGTGCATTCGGTGGAGCCCCCTGAGGGGCCACGAAGCGTATATGAGGGGTGCGCCGACATGGGGGTTGGAACCGCACACGGACTCTGCATCGGGTGCATTCGGTGGAGCCCCCTGAGGAGCCACGAAGCGTATATGAGGGATGCGCCGACCTGGGGGGTGGAACTGCACGGTGACCCTGCTTCGGGTGCCTTCGGTGGAGCTCCCCCTGGGGCCACGAAGCGTATAGGGGTGCGCCGACATCGGGGGTGGAACCGCATGCGGACCCTGCCACTGGCTCTGTGGCAACTAGTGGGAGCCTCCCATGTCATCTTGCTGGCTCTTTCGAGTCGACGCTAACCGACGCCAATCGACGCTGATTGACGCTGAATCGACGCTCAGTCGACGCTCAGTCGGCGCCGCCTCGTGGCCTACCAGACGCTGGCGCACGCGGAACGCGCCGCGCTGATGACGGGCCTCGCCGAGGCAGCAGTGCGCACCTCCGAGCGGTGCCAAGGGGAACTCCGAGGACACGCGGGGCCCCCGCTTTGGACGCCCGAAATGGGTACCGAAAAAATGGGTACAATGTCCAACCGCAAATGTTGTCCCAAACCAACAGCGGCCGCTGCTGGGCAGGCGGCCTTCTGTCTCGAATGGAAACAGGCCGCGGCGGCGCGGACAGCGAATCCTGTTCAGAACGAACAAGAACTGCTGTTGGGCATCGTACCCATTCCTTCCGTGCCCACCTCGGGCGTCCAGACCCGCGAGCCGCTGCCGAACACCCGGCGCCCCGAGCCCGGGCGCCTGGCGCAGCAGCTGCGCCTCCCCGCCCGCCGCCGGCCCGCAGAGCGCCGGGTGCGGCGGGGGCGCGGTCGCGCCCGGCGGCGGCGGCGGCCTGCGCGGCGGGCCCCCGCCGAGCGGCCACTCGGCGGCGACGCCGGCGGCGGCGGCGACGACGGCGCCTCCGCCTCCAAACCAGGGCGTGTTTTACAGCGTATGGTCTTCGTCCCGCCTTGGCTGCAAGACGAGGTATCAAACTAGCCTGGCGAAGAGGCCCAACCAGGTGCAGTTGTGAGTGCCGTCGTTGTGAGCAGCGCCCTTCGGTGGGCCTCCTCATGGGGCCACGAAGCGCGTGAAGGGTGTGCCGAAATGTATCAGAGCCCGCCATGCGGGCACTGCCACTGGGGCCGTCGAGCATCGCGAGGAACATGAAATGAAGGAGGGGGGCCAGCAGCAGGGGCCACTGGGGCCTTCCGTGGAGCACCCTATGGGGCCACGAAACGTGTGGGGTGTCCGCCGAAATGTGAGGTGGGACCGCAGGCGGGCGCTGCCACTGGGGCCTTCGGTGGAGCTACCCGTAGGGGCACGAAACGTGTGAGGGATTCGCCGAAACGAGGTAGGGCCGCATGCGGGCGCTGCCACTGGGGCCTTAGGCGGAGCTCCCTTTGGGGGCACGAAGCGTATAAGAGGTTCGCCGAAGTGGAGGGCGGAGCCCGCCATGCGGGCGCTGCCACTGGGGCCTTCGATGGGGCTCCCTCCCTGTGGGGCCTCGAAACGTGTGAGGGGTGCACCTCAATGGGGTTGGAACTGCATGCAGGCGCTGCCACTGGGGCCTTCGGTGGAGCTCCCTCGATGGGGCCACAAAACGTGTCAGAAAAGCACCGAAATGGGAGTGGAACCGCATGCGGGCGCTGCCACTGGGGCCTCCAATGGAGCTCCCTATGGGGCCACGAAACGTATGAGGGGTGAAGGTCAATGGGGGCGGAACTGCAGGCGGGCGCTGCCACTGGGGCCTTCGGTGGAGCACCTTAGGGGGCCACGAAGCGTGTGAGGGGTGTTGCGAAATGGAGGATGGAACTGTATGCGGGCGCTGCCACTGGGGCCTTGGACGCAATCCCGTGCGGGGCCGCGAAGCGCGTGAGGAGTGTGCCGAATTGGGAGTGGGACCGCATGCGGGCGCTGCCACTGGGGCCTTCGGTAGAGCTCTCCATGGGGCCACGAGACGTGTGAGGGGTGCACCGAGGTGGGTGTGAGACCGCATGCGGGCGCTGCCACTGGGGCCTTCGGTGGAGCCCCCTATGGGGCCACGAAGCGTATGACGAGGTACGCCAAAATGAACTGGCGGCGGCCCTCGGGCGCAATCACTGGGGCCTTAGGTGGGGCTCCCTAGGGGTCACGACACGTGCGAGCGGTGCGCCAAAGTGACACGCGGAGGGTAGAGGCAGGGATGGGATGGAAAGAGGGGGGAGGAGGAGGAGCAGGAGGAGCAGGAGGAGAAGGAGGAGGAGGAGGAAGAGGAGGATAGGAGGAGGAGGAGGAGGAGGAGGAGGAGGAGGAGGAGGAGGAGGAAGAGAGGAGAGGAGGAGGAGGAGGAGGAGGAGGAGGAGGAGGAGGAGGAGGAGGAGGAGGATGAACGCGGGGCGCTGTCTCTTCGACGCGAGAACCCAACACCTCAGCAGGGTTGGGGAAAAAAAACGAAAACGGTCCACGAAATCGCATGAACACGATTGAGCTCGAGCCGTGCCTCCGACGACGGAGACGGTGACAGCGACCACCACGACGCTGACGACGACGACGACGACGACGACGACGACGACGACGACGACGACGACGACGACGACGACGACGGCGGCGGCGGCGGCGGCGGCGGCGGCAGCGAGCACGGCGGCGCCGGCTGGCGGCTGCAACGACAACGACGACGACGACGACGACGACGACGACGACGACGACGACGACGGCCGAACATACAGGGGCGGGTGCGCACTGGAATGCGCGGAGGCGCGGCCAATGTCGTGGGGGACAACGCACTATCGATTGCGAGCGGCCGGGCGAGTTTAGCAGAAGGCCGGATCCACCACGGGAGAAGGCGAGAGCGCGCCCAACCAGCTGGAGGCAGCATCGCGTGAGCCAACATGGGCACGGAAATGTTGCGACACCACCACCAGCCTTCCAGAGCCATTCGACAACGTCCTGAACCTTCCCGAGCTGTTTCTGAGAATTCTACGACCTTCCCGAGCTTCGAGACCACCGAAAACGCTGACCCTTGAATATGTTCGAGTGAATTCACAAAAACTACAGAAGAAATTACGAGCCATCCACACCAGTCCGAATCCTTCCATCACCATCCCAACCGCCCCCGCCGACAGCTCGAGAGAAAGACCCGAGTTCAGGAGAAGACGAGGGATGAAGGCAAAACCGAACAGAATTAGCTTTCCAGCCTTCGACGGCTTCGCAATCCTGACTCTCCCCTCTTCCTCCTTCCCATCCTCGTCAGGCTCTAATCATTCACACTCCCCCCCCTCCTCCTCCTCCTCCTCCTCTTCCTCCTCCTCCTCCTCCTCCTCCTCCTCCTTCTCCTCCTCATCATCATCATCATCATCATCCTCCCCTCCACACCCTGCCCTCTTCTCGCATGACCCGCTTCTCTCGAGAGGCATCCCGTGACATAAACACTTGTACCGCAGCAGAGCCACGCCAAAAACTGGTTGTACTGGAGGGAAGGGGAACTCCGATCTCCCGACGTGATGCATGCGAGGGACAAAAAATGCATACGCATAAACATTCGGAGGTAAGCGCGAATCTCGCAGATCGGCGCTAGACCCCGCTCCCTGTCGCGCGGAGCGCGGCGCCATCTCATCGACTCCCAGACGCTAGTCGACGCCAGTCGACGCTGAAGACGGAATCGAAAGGGTAGACCAGGCCCCCGTGCTCTGCTACGGACCACCCCCCACCCCCCGGACCTGTCCTGGAGCGCGCTCTGACAGGGACCCCTAGGGGGCCACATGCGAACCCTGCCCCTACCCCCCACGATTTCTGAGGGGGAGGGTGGGGTTCACTTCGCTCGAGAAAAAAGAAGTGAACCCCACCCTCCCCCTCAGAAATCGTGGGGGGTAGGGGTAGGGTTCGCATGTGGCCCCCAGACCCCGGAGCGCGGAGCCGGCCAACTCCTGCGGCGTGGAGGCCCCCCCCCCCCGCGGCCGCGGGGGCCAGGAGGGCCGCGCCCCTTGGGAGGCCACAGAGAGTGCGCCCGGACGCCTGGAAGCCGCGACCGCCTGCCACCTCCTGGAGCTCCAAGGGCTCCAAACTTCGCGCTTCGCGCTGCGCGAAGCGCGAAGCGCGAATAACTTCGCGCCCTCGCGCCGCCTCCCAGGGGAGAAGCAGAGGATGAGGAGGAATCGGAGCCGAACCGCGAAGCGCGAAGCGCGAATAACTTCGCGCCCTCGAGGGCGCCCTTGGAGAAGGAGGTGTCCAGAGCGTCGAGAGAGGTAACAATAGGTTCGACTGGCCAAAAGCCCAGCCGTATGCAACTGTGACTACGGCGTCCGCGAGCAACGTCTTCGGTGGAGCTCCCCGTGGGCCACGAAACGCGGTACTGGGCGGGGGAGACGCATGCGAACACCGCCACTGGGGCCTTCGGTGGAGCTCCCTATGGGGCCGCGAAACGCTGTATTGGATGCGGAGGGCAGAGGCAGGGATGGGAGGACGGGGAGGAGGGAGGAGGGGGAGGAGGAAGGAGAGGAGCGGAGACGCGGGGCGCTGCCTCTTCAGAACGATAAAACCCGACAACACAAGATGGTTGGGAAAGAGAAAGCAAACACACAATTCACCGCCGAGTCTCGAGTGTCAAAGATCCTCGACCCTCGGCTCTCGACTCCCCTCCTCCCCACTCACCGGTCCGAAGAGACCAGCGTGGGAGCTCGGGAACGATAGCCTGTGGAAAACTCCCGCGACGAAGGTTCGGGATCATCTTAGTAGGGGGGGGCGGGGAGGGGGAGGGGGCGGCGGCCTCAGTTGGAAGGGGCCCTGGGACACACACACACACACACACACACACACACATATATATATATATATATATATATAAATAAATAAATAAATAAATAAATAAATACACACAAATAACCGGATCCCCCATATTTTCCTATATTCTCGGGTTTTTTGTCTTCCCCACCACTTCCCGTATTTTCCCATATTTTCTGGGGAGTCGACGATTAATTGTGTCTGTGTGTGTTTTTCCCCTCCTGATTCGTGCAAGGCCCTCCAACGACAAATCGTATTTTGCAAAATGCCACCGGAAAACCCGTGATCTACCCCCAACCACGGGCTGTACTCCTGGGCTCCCAGATTCGCCAGCCCAGCGGGCAGGAGGCGTGCTGAGATCTTCAACAACACGCATCGAATCATTGTAATTCGCGCGCGCGCGCGGGGCTGCCCCGGGAGATCCCTGAGCGACCAGGATATCCCCAGCAAGGTCCCCTCAGAGATGGCGGCGTTGCTCCTGGGCGCCGTCCTCGGGGCCCCCCAGAGAGCCCCGAGGCACCAAAAAGAAGCTCCAAGAGAGCCCACGAGCGGCCAAAGAGCGGGATCAGTGCCCAGGATGATCTCTGGATGGCCTGAGACGCCTCGAAACGCCTCGAGAGAGCCCCAACAGAGCCCCGAAGAAAGCCCCGAGCGCAAAGATAGTTGGTTTCCCTTAGGAGTTTGAAGGATTTTCGCGTTATCGTCTGTTTGTGTTTCGGATCCCCAAGACGGCCCTGGAGTCCCCCAATATCGCCGCAAGGTAGACCGAGAAGCTCCCAGAAGGCCCCCAAGACGCCCCAAAGGGACCCCATGTTTTTGCTGTTTGGGGGGGGAGGGAGAACCCTACCACACGACCTCAGCACATCGCGGCTACCACCACAGCGCAAAACAATAGGTCGCCGGGCAAACCGTAGACGTAACCCAAGCCGACCTGCAATAGGCAAACTCGTGTAGTGTAGTGAACCCTGGCCTGAAGAAGAAAGCAGCCGTCCTGCGGATCGAAAGTTGCAAAGATGCCCCAGGAGGGCCCCGATACAGCCCAATAGGCACCCCAGGGGGGCTCCCGAGGCCCCAGAGGGGGCCCCATTACTGGAAGCCCGAGTCGTGTATTGACGGCTCCTCTGCTTGGAAAAAAATCTGATGCCTATTTTCTTCACGGCGCGGGCGTGTCTGAGACTGGGTGGCGAAACCCGAGCCTCACCCCAGCCAGCCATCGACTCTCCGGAAACGATAGGAGGCGGGGTTATGATGTTCCTACCTACTTAAGTACGATGGGAACAACATAAGGCGGGGGTAGAGTTCGGACCTCTCCACGTGATCGACGAATCCCGAACCCTGCCTCCCGCCGCCCATCGAGTTGCCTGAATGGTTGATCGGGCGAAGACCGGTCCCTGGAACCCCCCTGTGGGTCCATCTGGTGCAGCTCTCCTCCCCGGACACCTTTTGTGACGGCCCCAGGGCCCGATTCACACAGCCATCGGGGCCGAACATCCCTGAGATCCGACGTAACCAAAAGAATTGCTTCCATCGTGAAAAATCACGCCCGGGGCCCTGGGCCCCATCTTTCTGCGTCACTTCTCGAGCTGGATCGAGCTGTGAGGGTCCTGGGCCCGATCCAAGGCGAAAACGCCCGGCTCGAAAAAACTGAGGCGCCAGGACTTGCCGAAAACCTGGTCGCCTAACGTTTGCTTCGCCAGCACGGTCTGAATCTCGCCGCCGAGAGCCGCCGCCGCCGCCGACGCCGCCCACGGCGCCCCGCCACGCTCGGGCGGAGCCTCTCGTGGAGGCCGGCCGCGCCCGCGCCAGGGCGGTACCGGGAGGCCTCGGCGACGGGGGCCGCGCGCGCGCTGGCGGCTGGCGAGTGAGGGAGGAGGAGGAGGAGGAGGAGGAGGAGGAGGAGGAGGAGCAGGAGGAAGAGGAAGAGGAAAGAGGAGGAGGAGGAGGAGGAGGAGGAGGAGGAGAACGAGGACGACGAGGACGAGGAGGAGGAGGAGGAGAGGAGGAGGAGGAGGAGGAGGAGGAGGAGGAGGAGAGGAGGAGGAGGAGGAGGAGGAGGAGGAGGAGGAGGAGGAGGAGGAGGAGGAGAAGGGGAGGAGGAGTAGAGGGGAGGAGGAGGAGGAGGAGGAGGAGGAAGGAGTAGAGGAGGAGGAGGAGGAGGAGGAGCGAGGAGGAGGAGGAGGAGAGGAGGAGGAGGAGGAGGAGGAGAGGGAGGAGGAAGAGGAGGAGGAGGAGGGAGGAGGAGGAGAAGGAGGAGGAGGAGGAGGAGCAGGAGGAGGAAGAGAGAGGAGAGGAGGAGGAGGAGGAGGAGAGGAGGAGGAGGAGGAGGAGGAGGAGGAGGAGGAGGAGGAGGGGGGGAGGAGGAGGAGGAGAAGGAGAAGGAGGAGGAGGAGGAGGAGGAGGAGGAGGAGGAAGAGGAGAAGGAAGAGGAGGAGGAGGAGGAGGAGGAGGAGGAGGAGCAGGAGCGGGCCCTTTCATCGGCGACGAATAGGCTATGCGGGATCGATGGTTTTTGCCCATGGGCCTATCCCCCCCCCCTACTAACGTTGCCACCTGGTTTTCGGGCCGTGACTAACTCGGCTTTCCAGCGGCCGTTCGGGGCGATCCTGGCACCCCCCGCAGCGCTCACGGCGAGGCGCAGCTGCTGAAAGGCACCCCGAGGCTGGAAAGCCGCTGAGAACGGACGAGAACCTCGAAAACCTCGAATCTCGAGCGTGACATCCATCCTAAGTCGTTCTTGGACTGTCCAGGGGCCCCGCGAGGGCCCCCCGGAGGCCAAACGCATCCTAAACCCATCCCCAACTGAGCTTGTCCACACCTGACGCTTGCCCCAAAACATTAGCCCGGCGACGGATCGAGCCGTATGCAGTTGTGAATACCGTCGTTGTGAGCATCGCCCTTCGGTGGATCTCCTTGTGGGGCCTCGAAGCGAGTGAAGGGTGTACCGATATGTGGCGGGGCCGCCATGCGGGCGCTGATACTGGGGCCGCCGAGCATCGCGAGGAACATGAAATGAAGGAGGGGGGCCAGCAGCAGGGGGCACTGGGGCCTTCGGTGGAGCACCCTATGGGGCCACGAAACGTGTGGGAGGTCCGCCCGCATAGGGGGTGGGACCGCAGGCGGGCGCTGCCACTGGGGCCTTCGGTGGAGCTCCGTATGGGGACGCGAAGCGTGTGAGGGGTTCGCCGAAATGGAGGGTGGAACCGCATGCGGGCGCTGCCACTGGGGCCTCCGGTGGGACTCCCTATGGGGCCACGAAATCGTGTGAGAGGTGTGCCGACATGTGGGTGGAACTGCATGATGCCCTGCGAAAGATGCAATTCGCGCGAGCTCGTCTACAAAGCATCACCAGCTTCCAAGAAACCCTTGCCAAAAACGTGTCGAAGTCCTTCCCGAACCACAGGTTTCGCGCAAGCTTCCCGAACACATCTAAGAAAAATGCATGTCAATACGTGTTTCCCCCAGTAGACAAACAATATCTACATACCTTTATACAATAACCATCGCGCACACTTCGCGCGCGCTCAAGTTCTAGCTAGGCTCGACAGGCTAACGCATGGAATATCCGTTGTTCAAGTGCCTTGTTCATCGAACGAGCTTCTTGGCGTCCCTGCACAAGACTCGGAAGCGTATAGAAGGGGAAATGCGGACACTACATCATACATTTCCTTTAGGTGTTTGATGATTTAGGGACCCTCGGAGGCATTGGTGGTGACGGGGGCCTTAACTATAGTCTGTTATGCAAGAATAACTCAGGGGTAAGTTTGAACAAATGAATTATTGGAATTCCTTTTTTCCCAATTGCTGTGCCTGGGCCGTGGGTCAAAAGTTTCCTGAATACAGGCCGCGGACTGTTGGGACGCCTCTGGGGGGCATTTTGGCGGCGTCTTGGAAATATTTCGGGGTCTCTTGGGGGGCTCGTGGTGCCTCCTGGGAGCCTCCCGGGAGTCTCCGCAAGCATCTGGGGCGCGCCTCGAGAACCCCTGGGAGAACCGTGGGGCCACCTTGAGGCAAAGCGCTCGTAAGGCTTTGGGAGGTCCCCTCTTGTGTCTCTTTCTTGGCGCGCGCGCGCGCTGACGTTCTAGCTTGGCTGGACAGGTGAACTCATGGGATCTCGACTTTACGGTGGTTTCAGGGGCAGCCAAGAGGACGCGAAGACAACCCAAGAGAGTGCCAAGACAGCGTCAGGGAGTTCAACAGGATTCCCGAAAAATATATAGGCAATGTGACCCCGAAGTCTTGATGGGGCTCGGGGTGAACTTGAGCGAAAAGAGTATCACTGGATTTCCGTCAAATGGGGCCTCCTAACATGCAGTGCGCAGGAATTGGGGGGGCCTAAGAGGCGTGCAGGGAGCTCTCGGGAGGCGGTTTGGAGGCCGCTGGGAGCTGGTTTGGGGCCTCTTGGGGCCGCTTGTGGGCCTCTTCGGCGCTCTGGGGAGCCATCTTGGGGCTCTCTTGGGCTGCCTCGGGGCGCTCTTGGGCTGTCTTGGGGCCTCCTTGGCCCGTCTTGGAGCCGTCTTGGGCGCTCTTGGGCGGTCTTGGAGCGGTCTTGGTGGCCTTTTCGGCTGTCTTGGAGCGTTGGAAGCTCGAACAAGCTTTCAAACAAACAAATGAAAATCGACGATTGTGCCCTCTTCGGGCGCTCCTGGAACGCCTTTCGAAGCTCGCTTGGGGCCTCTGGAGAACCGTCGAAGTCTGTCCTGGGCTACTTGGGAGCGTCTTGGGCCGTCCCTTCGCGTTCTGGGGGCTCCTTAAGGGCGTCTTGGGCTGTCCTGGGGCGTTTGGGGGCCTCCCTGGGAGGACCTGGGGCGCGGTACCAGGAGTTGACCCCAGATGTCGCGGAGGTGGTGGACGCCGACAGGGGGGGGCGTATTTGTTTATATCATCTTAAGGCTAAGTAAGACGAATTATATATACATACAGACATATAGCCTGACGAAGAACCCAATCACAGGAAGCTGCGAGGAGATTCGTGAGTCGGTGAGACGAAGGAGGGGGGCCAGAACAATGATTGCGGTAAAGCTCCCTATGGGGCCACGAAACGTGTGAAGGGTGTGCCAAAATAGGCGTCGGGCGCATGCGAACCCTGCCATTGGAGCCTTCGGTAGAGCTCCCTATGGGGCCACGAAACGTGTGATGTGTGCAGAAATGACGTATGGCGCATGCGAACACTGCCACTGGGACCTTCGGTGGAGTTCCCTATGGGGCCACGAAGCGTGTGAGGAGCGAACCGAAATTCAAAATGGAAGGTGGATCCGCATGCGGCCGCTGCTGGGGCCTTCGGTGGAGCTCCCTATGGGGCCACGAAGCGTGCGAGGGGTGTGCCGAAGTGGACACGCGTGGTGTGCCGAAACAGGCATGCGCGGAGGGCAAAGGCAGGGATGGGAGGACGGAGGAGCGGGAGGAGGAGAGGCGGCGAGGAAAGCGGGGCGGTCTCTCCTCAAGACGAGGACCCAACATCACAGGGTGGTTGGCAACGCATCGTCCGGCGCCAGGGGGGGGGGGGAAGGCGCGAGGGGCGGGGGGTGGGGGGAGAGAGCAGGATCTGAGATCCAGGGAGGGCCGGGGGGAGAGAGAGGAGGGGCAGAGAGGAGGAGGAGGAGGAGGAAGCATCGAGGTCCGTGCAGCCCCGAACCTCGAGCCTGCCCCCCCCACGTGGGCCCCACTGCCCCCCCCCCCCCCCGCGAGCTCGGCGCGGCGGGGCGCGGCCGTCCGGCGCGCGGGCGCGCCCGCCCGCCTGGTGGGCGCCGCCGCCCACCGT